TAAGCAATAGGTGATGTATGGAACTATTGCAAGGTGTACATGTCTGTCTAGCTTTTATCATCTGACCTTGACCTCATTTTCATGGTTCATTTGTCAATGTTAAATTTTTGTGTTTTGGTCTGTAATACTAATAGCAATATTTAGCTATATTTGGTGTATGCTGAACAAATCTTAGGGGTCTAGGTCATAAGTGTTATAGGCCATTTTTAAGGCAATGTCTACCTTTACCTCTGGCCCAAGTGGAGAATATCTTTGTTTTGCCAGCCGGCAATAGTTATTTTTGACTTTGTGATATACTGGGGTTACCCCCGCCCCCCCCCCCCCCCCCCCCCTTTTACCATATGCTGACAAATTCATACCCGTCTAGGTCAAAAGTGCTATAGGCCATTTTAAAGGGCAATTCTTTTTCTACCTCTTGTATCATACCCCACGTCGAGAACCTGTTAGTTTGGCAAGCCGTCAATAGTTAATTTTGACTTTGTGATATGCCGGGGTACCCCCCTCCCCTACCCTATGCTGACACATTCGTACGAATCTAGGGCATACCTCTACCTCTGGTATTATGGCCCACCCGGAGAATCTTAGTTTGGCCAGCCGGCAATAATTAGTTTTGACTTTGTGATATACCGGGATACCCCCACCCCCACCCCCGCCCCCCTCACCTTCTCTATGCTGACAAACTCGTACGGGTCTAGGGCATAAGTGCTATTGGCCATTTTAAAAGCTATGCCTACCTCTACCTCTGTCCCACGTTGAGAATCTCTTTCTTTGGCTAGACGTCAATAGTTAATTTTGACTTTGTGATATACCGCGGTAACCCCCTTATCCTATACTGACAAATTCGTACGGGTCTAGGGCATAAGTGATACATGTATGAGCCATTTTAAAAGCAATGCCTACCTCAACCTCTGGTATTTTGGCCCACACGGAGGATCTTTCAGTTTGGCCAGCTGGCAATAGTTAATTTTACTTGGTGATATATAGGGATACCCCTTCCCCTACCCTATGCTGACAAACTCGCACGGGTCTAGGGCATAAGTGTTATGGGCCATTTTTATAGGTAATGCTTTACTCTGAATGGCAATAACCTCATTATGTTTAGACTCTGATTGATCTCCGTAATTTTGAATAATGTTAGGTCATTGATAAAGTAACTTTTAGTTTTTACTTTTTCTGCTTTTTTATTTAATGGTAAAACTTCTTGTTTATCTGGTCTGTTCAAAATAGTAGATTAACAATCATATTTAGTACATGTAACTATGAGATGGGACTATATTCGTAGACAACATATGGCAATTAATTCCTTTTAGTTCCTTTTAGTTTACGTTCAATGTATAATTGTTAAATATTTAAATACTTCGAGAAGTCAGAAATATTTATAAGAACTATTCTATTTAATTTGTCCGGGAAAATGTCCCGTTTTCAAGATATATAATTATGCATTTTTCATCTCTTTCGTTTAATTCTTTATTTATAGTAATCTTTAAATTTCAATATTTAATCACCCCTTAATTTATTGTTGTTTCAATTACATTATTTCACATATCACAGAATTTCAGATGAATTGGATCTTGGTTCTATGTTTATTGAAGCTTTAATCTTTTCTATTTACTTTCATTTTTAATGTTGTTTAAAGACGCGGACCTCTTTTATAATCTAGTTTTATAATATATCGTATAAACTTTATAAGATATCTTCTAAAGTTTATAAGATATCTTATAAAAAAATTATATGAGATATCTTATAAACTGTATAAGATATCTTATAAACTATATAAGATATCTTATAAACTATATAATATATCTTATAAACTATATAAGATATCTGATAAACTATATAAGATATGTTTTATAAACTATATAAGATATCTTATAAACTATATAAGATGTCTTATAAACTATATAAGATATCTTATAAATTATAAAAGATATCTGATAAACTATATGAGATATCTTACGAATGTGACCTACCGAATTAGACTATTTACCGGATTTGTAATAACATAAGCAACACGACGGGTGCAACATGTGGAGCAGGATCTGCTTACTCTTCCGGAGCACCTGAGATCACCCCCAGTTTTTGGTGGGGTTCGTGTTGCTTAGTCTTTAGTTTTCTATGTTGTGTCATCTGTACTATTATTTGTCTGTTTGTCTTTTTATTTTTGGCCATGGCGTTGTCAGTTTCTTTTCGATTTGTGAGTTTGACTGTCCCTCTGGTATCTTTCGTCCCTCTATTATAAAGTTTATTAAATATCTTGAAGTTAGAATAAATAGTTAAACGGATTGCCATAACTGATCAATTAAATTCAAAGTGAAGAAGGAAATGGAAAAAAAAACATACCTCAAATTAAGACTCGTACATTTGGTTTAACTACAAAACAAGGCATTCATTGCACCCCTTAAGATCGTTAATCATGATTGTTATTATTTCATCAAATTAAAAGCCTTTGCCTATAAACATGATAAACATTTATCCCTTTTATAAAGAATTATCAGAAAGGCACATCTGTGATTTTCAATCATGTCAATATAAGGGTCTGTGTTGAAAGAAGGTACATTTGTTATGCTTGTTAAATAAAACCAGCTATAGTGAATAGGAAAAGGTACAAATTATGAGTACCGTTGTTTAAGAAAACATATGGTCTTTCGAATCACTTCTGAATTGACTTAATTTTTTTATTTTCGAATAAATTCATTCTTTAAAGTAATTAACTATACATGGTACAGTCTTAGATCCCTGCTATCTTTGCGTTCCGGTCAAAATATCCACTTTGTTTTTATAATTTATATCAGGTAGCACTTATCCAAAGTTGGTATTCATTACTGAATCATATTTTTATTTTTTTTAGGTAAATAAAGAGAAGTATATTGTAATTGTCTATTATTCTGTTTTATAACATTGAGAATGGAAATGGGGAATGTGTCAAAGAGACAACAAACCGACCATAGAGCAGACAACAGCCGAAGGCCACCAATGGGTCTTCAATGCAGCGAGAAACTCCCGCACCCAGAGGCGTCCTTCAGCTGGCCCCTAAACAAATATGTATACTAGTTCAGTGATAATGGACGTCATACTAAACTCCAAATTATACACAAGAAACTAAAATTAAAAATGATACAAGACTAACAAAGGCCAGAGGCTCCTGACTTGGGGCAGGCGCAAAAATGCGGCGGGGTTAAACATGTTTTTTAAGATCTCAACCCGCACCCTATACCTCTAGCAAATGTAGAAAAAACAAACGCACAACAGTACGCACAGTAAAACTCAGTATAAGAGAAGTCCGAGTCCGATGTCAGAATAGGAAACAAAAGAAAAATAATTATAGTATTGATAGTTCTTTGTCTTACCATAGAAGTATTATATAGTAATTGTCTATGATTTTGTTTCATTGTATAGATTGTTCTTTATCTTACCATAGAAGTATTATATTGTAATTGTCTATGATTCGGTTTTATTGTATAGATTGTTCTTTGTCTTACCATAGAAGTATTATATTGTAATTGTCTATAATTCTGTTTTATTGTATAGATTGTTCTTTGTCTTACCATAGAAGTATTATATTGTAATTGTCTATGATTCTGTTTTATTGTATATAGATTGTTCTTTGTCTTACCATAAAAGTATTATATTGTAGTTGTTTATGATTCGGTTTTATTGTATAGATTGTTCTTTGTCTTACCATAGAAGTATTATAATATAATTGTCTATGATTCTGTTTTATTGTATAGATTGTTCTTTGTCTTATCATGGAAGTATTATATTGACTCCTTTCATTTTATTTCCATGGTCTTACAAAATACCGTTTGTCTAATGAAGACTGTTTCTGGCAAACACAATTCAATTCCTGGTATCTATTATGAGTTTGTTTAAATGTAATGGCAGCACAATTGGATATTCTTTCCGTAGTAAAAACAGAAGCTGTCGTGGACAGCTGATAATAAAACTTCTTTATTAATGATTTATAAGTATTAAGGAAGAACAAAATTTTTCTAAATATAAAAATTGTAAAGCTAGCAACATTTTACTTCATTTAACTTAATTGATATATTTTGTCTGTAAATATCAAGTTCAAATATGCTATTGAGCTAATACTAAGATTAAAACAATTAAGAACACAAAGTTGGCTGTTCTGTTTGTTGTTTAGCTCTAAAACCGTTTGTATGTTTGGCTTTCCCAACTTTCAGTATCTAGCGTACTCAATGAAAATTAATCAAAAACACGTGTCTCGGGCGTACCTGATAAAGGTTAGTCCAAAACACGTGTCTCGAGCGCACCTGATAAAGATTGGAGTCTAATGCACCTGGCACGATACAGGCTCAGTAAAAACTCTAGATGAACAACTTGGCCTACTTCGATTCGTCCAACTTAGTCCGATTCGTCCGAGTTAGTAGAGTTTGTCAAGTTTACTCAAGTTTCAATCCAAAAAATAAAAAAGGGGATGTAAAACAATGTAAGAAAGACAACTATAACCTGGTACAAAATGGCGTTAAATAAAATAATGTGCACAGGTAAATTTACATATAATAATTTTGTTGTTAGGAGTACGGAAATATTTTGAACAAAATAAATAAATTTGTTGTTCATAGTACGAGTACAGAAGTGAAAATTTATCGTCATGCTAAATACATTTCAAAGGTGGTACATATTAAAAATAGTGAGACGAGATATAACACAAAATAAGTAAAAATTGAAAAACAAAAATGCATCACAAATTGTGTCAACAGATCAAATTAACACGAAATTACGATTTAAGAATACTTGCAGTTAATGAAAGCTAGTTAAAAGTCAAAAACAATTAGTCCATTTTCCTCTATTCTTTATATTTGAGCACCACTTTATTCTCTATTCTTTATTGGTTAGGTCCATTTTTCTTTATTCTTTATACTTTTTGCCCATTATTCTCTGTTCTGTTAACCCCATCGTTTATGAAGAGAACAGAAAAAATGTAATTTCATTGCTTTGAATTGCTAAAAGTAAAAGGTGAATTAGTTACTATAATAAATGATAGAAGATCTTCAATCTTATTACAATTACAAATTTGTACATAAGGTTTCCATTGTCGACGTCACTAAAAAGAAAATTCACAACCGCTGCTATATATTCCATTTTGAGAGTAAGTCGAATAACACAGTCGTTATATTCCGATCACTACGATCACTCCATTTGGAGGCGGAGAGAATCGGTGACGGTGAGGGCTTGAATTATTCGAGTTATTTTGAGAGTCACTCGAGTATAATTTTCACTTCAATTCGGGAATATTGCGCACATGCGCATTAGCACTGGTTTTATAACTCTTGTCAATAATACTACCATGGTATTGCCGAGTAACTATATAGCCGTCAATCAGTCGAATACGAGTCGTCATTAATTGGTGAATAAACGTTAAACACAGGAGAAATTGTGTGAATTTGTAATTTCAAACTCTTTCTGGAATCTGAAAAAAACAAAAAGAGAAAAATGTAAACGCACATTTTAATTCAAAACATACCCGCATTCCTTTCTTTCTATTGTGTGTGGATGTGTAATATATATTTTAAATGAGATTTTATTTTAGAAAAGATGCAATTCCGGGTTTATCGCTTACGGTAATCTGGTTATGTCAATATACAACTTGTTCCCTAGTTTTGTATGATGTCAAAGGGTCAAGGTTCCATTAGTGAACACTGTTGTTTGCTTTCTATAGATCTTTATGTATTTTTTGTCTTTTTGATTGAACTCTCATATACATATCCCCTTTATCTTTTAATTCTTATGTTCATAAATGTATTGTGTCTTTTGACATGAGTGTGTGCATACATTGCGTCTTTTGATATTAGTGTGTGCATACAATGCTTCTCTTGACATTAGTGTGTGCATACATCGTGTCTTTTGAAATAAGTGTGTGCATACATTGTGTCTTTTGAAATAAGTGTGTGCATACATCGTGTCTTTTGAAATAAGTGTGTGCATACATTATCTGTATGGATTCAAAGGAGTAAGTAAAATAACAAAAATACCGAACTCCAAGGAAAATTGAAAACGGACAGTCCCTTATCAAATAGCAAAATCAAAAGCTAAAACATATTAAACGAATGGAAACCAACTGTCATATTCCTGACTTGGTACAGGCATTTCCGTATGTAGAAAATGGTGGATTAAACCTGGTTTTATAGCTAGTTAAACCTCTCACTTGTATGACAGTAAACAGTATGACCGTATTTCCTTTGTAAATACAAACAGCTTTTATCAGCAATATTAGATTACATAGTGACTTGAAATAATGAAGGAAGAAGATGATTTGTGATTGATTGGTGATTGTTGGTGTTTACGCAACTTTCATTACGCTTGTAAATATCATGGTGGCCAGCTTTTATTGATGGAGAAAACCGCAGTGCCCGGTGAGGCCTCAAGTTAATTCGATATGAAATTTGGCAATCCTAGTCAAATAAGGTTATGCGACGTTCGTACTCACAACCTTAGTATTGACAGGTTTTTGTTAGTTTAGTTTAAACATGCATATTTTATATGCATAAACACAAATTGGATAAGACACAAGTCAAACAGTCTTATGACGTCTCCCCCATTTCACGATACAATACATAAGAGCATGCATACATTACATACTTTTTCAACATGTGTATTAATTGGACAGAAAAATTACGTGGCATGAAAGAAGAAAAAAAATTGAACACAAAAAAAAGCAAAAAGCAAAGAAATCAATTAATAAAAAAAAAACAAATTAAAACAAAAACAAAAAACAACTGAACGTAGATGACGATGTGTGTGTGGTCATTTTTTACTATCTATAGAATAAGGAATATATTCGACCCTTTAATAAACTCAAACACATTTTAAAGATATTTTCATTTTGCTCATGAGTAAGTAGACTACTACCCGAGGTTAATAGTTCTATATTTAATGGACAGTTATATGGGAGCCAACAATGATTTTCCAAAAACTTGTTTCGTTTTTCTGAATATAATATACATTTAAAAGAAATGATGCGAATCTTCGCGATACACACCGCAGCAGCAAGATGGATCAGAAATAAAATTAATTCTATGCATATCATAACTTAAGAAGGAAGCAGAACATCGAAGTTGGATGAGAATAATATTGAGTTTTCGACTTCCAAACTCATTTTGTTTCGGCGTGAGATTTACGTTTTTCAATCTCGTTTTTAATTTTTCGATTGTATCTGCTTCACGGGTTCACGGGTTTTGTTAGTGTAGATGAATTACTTAAACCACTCAATTAACCAGGTGGTTTGTAAAAGCTTATATATATATATAGTTCATGTAAGAGGATCTGGATTGGGTTTACAAAGAACAGAGAATAATGGCCCGAAAATATAATGAATGGTGAAAAATGAGCTAAAAATATATAAAAGAATAGAGAATGGCCCAAAAATATAATGAATGGAGAAAAATGAACAAAATATATAAAGAATAGAGAATAATTGCCCGAAAATATAATGAATGGAGAAAAATGAGCAAAATATACAAAGAACAGAGAATAATGGCCCCAAAATAAAATGAATGGAGAAAAATGAGCAAAATAAATAAAGAATAGAAAATAATGACCCGAAAATAAAATGAATGGTGAAAAATGAGCTAAAAATATATAAAAGAATAGAGAATGGCCCGAAAATATAATGAATGGTGAAAAATGAACAAAATATACAAAGAATAGAGAATAATGGCCCCAAAATGTAATGAATGAAGAAAATGAGCAAAATATACAAAGAAAAGAGAATGATGGCCAGAAAATATAATGAATGAAGAAAAATGAGCAAAATATACAAAAAATAAAGAATGATGGCCAGAAAATATAAAAAAAAATAGCAAAATACTGATTTATAAGAGGGTATAAAAGTACAATAAAGTATGAGTAAATTCATTCAAGTGAAGTATCAAGTTACTCATTAACATTGCAATGTGCATGTTTTGATCAAGTACAGTTCCCATCAAATAACTCGCTTTACTTCCAATTGTCGCGTCTTTAGCAGGAGAACCTGACGATATGGGTATGTGTTTTACATCTACTTCATTTAAACTCTGGTGGATAGTTGTCTCATTGACAATCATACCACACCGCCTTATTTTCATATATTTGAATTTTTTCAAAAAAGCCTAAATGCATGAATAAACGTATATATGTTCCGCGTAACAGAATTTTAACTAGAAACTTTGTTATAAACAATGCCATAACATCTGTTCCTGTAGGAACACATATTCTATATTATTATTCCATCTGGAGCTAATAATGTAACATCTGTTCCTGTAGGAACACATATTCTATATTACTATTCCGTCTGGAGCTAATAATGTAACATCTGTTCCTGTAGGAACACATATTCTATAATATTATTTCGTCTGGAGCTAATAATGTAACATCTGTTCCTGTAGAAACACATTTTCCATAATATTATTCCGTCTGGAGCTAATAATGTAATATTTGTTCCAGAAAAAATAATATTAAAGAACATTTCTTCCATTTGAAACTTATATTCTAATGGAACTTCTATTTCATGACACATGTACATGTACCACCAAATGTTTCATTCATAACCGCAATATACAATTTACATACACATATCTTACGGACAAGCAGCCTGGCATTCAACAATACTTTTAAAATTGTTACTATTTCCACCACATCCGTATCTAAATTGTTCACATTGTCCCGTTTTCCAATTGTAATAGAATCTTTGAAATATTTCTGAGCCTGGTTTACATCGTCCGATTACAGGATCTAGCTTACAAACTGCAAAATATATTGTATAGGTCATTTAATAAAACACTAGTTTGAAGCAGTATATTCATTATTCAAAACATATGACAAAAATATATATCGATATATTGATACGTCAATACAAATATAATAAAATACTTTTCAGGGCGCAGCTTGATACGACCGCAGAGGTCGAACCCTGAATAGTATGGACACTATATTCAAACTTGAAACAGCTCTGAATTTGGATTGTAATTAAATATTTGACACATCATAGGTTTCGGACACAGAATAAATGTGGTCAAAGAACTACAAATTTTGAAATTGGACTTTTACCTATTATGGTTCAATATCCAAAATCTAAATACACAATTAGATTCAGCATATCATAGAATCCCAAGAATTCAAACAAAGTTTAACTTTGGACCCTTTGGACCTCAATGTGGACCAATTTGATAACAGGCCTCAAAATCAAAAAACTAAATACACGGTTATATTCAGTAAATCAAAGAACCCCATATATTCAATTTTTGTTGAAATCAAACAAAATTTGATTTTAGACCCTAATTTCGACCAACTTGAAAGCTTGGCCTAAAATCAAAAATCTTTAGATTCAGGATATCAATGAACCCCTTGAATTCAATTTTTGTTTTAAAAGATCAAACAAAGTTTCATTTTAGACCCCTTTGACCTTAATGTGGACCAATTTGAAAACAGCCCCTAAAATTAAAAATTTGAATACACGGTTAGATTCGGCATATCTAAGAACATCCAAGTTTAATTTTGGACCTAAATATGGGCCAATTCAAAAACAGGACCCAAACCCAAATTCTTTCCTTTTAAGTTATGAAATTTTGTGGTACAATTTCATAGCAATTGATAGACTTATTTGTAAGTAATTGTCAAGAAACCAAAAATCCTAGTTTTTTGGCCTCTTTTCGGCCCTAATTCTAAACGGTTTTGGCCCAAAAATCAATCCCAATTTTCCTTTGAGGTATGGAACCTTGTGGTAAAATTTCACAGAGATCCATACTCTTATACAAAAGTTATTGTCCTGAAACATGAAACGTTAATCAATCAATCCCAACCTTTCTATTGTGATATGGAACCTCGTGGCTACTACAATACCCATAAAATCAATCCCAACCTTTCTATTGTGATATGGAACCTTGTGGCTACTACAATACCCATAAAATCAGTCCCAACCTTTCTATTGTGGTATGGAACCTTGTGCTAAAATTTCCTAGATATCCATAAACTTATACTCAAGTTATTGTTTCCCAATATTTTTCTTTCATTTGTCACAAACTTGTCTTCAACTAATTTATTAATGTCAACAACTTTATCTATTGTGATGAAATATATCATTTAATAAAAAAAGATTATTATCTTAAAATAACACATCCCCCCCTCCCCCCAAAAACAAAAAAACACAAAAAAAAACACAAAAAAAACTCTTATTAAGATGTAACATAACATGATGTAAGGCACAACAGTATCTAAAAACTTCACTTACCTACAATTTCACTTCAACAGTTGGACAAAGGTCTATTTTAATTTCCAATGGAATATACAACCATAAGAAATCATTTCATAAATGTTAACAATCTTTAAATAAACCACAATGCATAACACAATAATCACTAAAATTAATACACAATAATCACTAGAATTAATATATCTGAATCAGCAAAATCTATTTTCAACTATGACTCAACTTAAAATTTCTATTACTTGTGCAATACATCTATGCGTTTAGAATCTGATTAAATATTTGGTATAGCATAGTTTCTAACATAGAATGAATGTGGTCTAAGTATTTAAATATTTTAAAATTGGACATTTACCAATTATGGTCCAATATCCAAATTCTAAATACATGATTAGAATCAACATATCAAAGAATCCCAAGAATTCCTAAATGTAAACAATATTTAAATAAACCACAATGCATAACACAATAATCACTAAAATTAATATATCTGAATCAGCAAAATCTATTTTCAACTATGACTCAACTTCAAATTTCTATTACTTGTGCAATACATCTATGAATTTAGAGTCTGATTAAATATTTGGTATAGCATAGTTTTTAACACAGAATGAATGTGATCTAAGTACTTAAAAAATTTTAAATTGGACATTTACCAATTATGGTCCAATATCCAAATTCTAAATACATGATTAGAATCAACATATCAAAGAATTCCAAGAATTCAGTTTCTGAAAAAATCCAACAAAATTTAATTTGGACCCTTTGGACCTCAATGTGAACCAATTTGATAACGAGACCCAAAATCCAAAATTTACATACACACTTAAATTCATCTTATCATAGAATCCCATACTTTATTTTTTTGTAAAATCAAACAAAACTAAATGTTGGCCCTTAATTTCAACCGACTTGAAAACTTTGCCCAAAATCAAATCAAATATCTAATTATATGCTTATATTCAGCATAGCAAAGAACCCCAAGAATTTTTGTTAAAATCAAACGAAGTTTACATTTGGATACTTTGGACCTTAATGTGGACCAGTTTGAAAAACGGGCCCAAATTCAAAAATGTAAAACACTGTTAGATTGCGAACATCACAGAACACCACTTATTCATTTTTTGAAAGTTTTAATTTTGGACCCAATTTGGACCAACTTTAATACTGTGCCCAATATCTAAAATCTAAATAGATGTTTAGATTCAGCATATCAAAGAACCCCAATCATTCATTTTTTTTTTTAAATAAAAAAATCAAGCAAATGTTATACCACTGTCCCAGGTTAGGGGAGGGTTGAGCGCTCACAAACAAGTTTAACCCCGCCACATTCTTTATGTGTCTGTCCCAAGTCAGAAGCCTGTATTTCAGTGGTTGTCGATGTTTCATGTCTGTCATGTTTGTTTTTCGTTAATTCGTTTTGTTATAATTTAGTTTTCTCAATTGAATTGTTTCATATTTTTCATGTCGGGGCCTTTAATAGCCGACTAAACTCATTGTTGAAGGCCGTACGGTTGCCTAGAATTGCTTATATACACTTTATTTGAACTTTGGTGGATAGTTGTCTCATTGGCAATCATACCTCATCTCCTTATTTTTATAAAGTTTAATTTTGGACCCTTTGGACCTTTATATGGACCAATTTGAAGACAGGCCCCCAAATTAAAAAATCTAAATACACAATTAGATTCAGCATATGAAAAATTACCAATTATATTTATTTTGAAGAAATCAAACAAAGTTTAATTTTGGACCCTTTGGACCTTAATAGGAATCAATTCAAAAACAGGACCCCAAATCCAAATTATAAATACCCAATTAGATTCAGCATATTAAAGAACCCCAAGAATTCAAGACTTTGAATTAAAACCCGTTGAAATTGCTAAAGAAATAAGCTATTTATACAAAGTATTACAAAAGTATTGTTTTTGGCTCCTTTAACTAAACCGTTAGGGTCATAACCCTTTAAATCAATCCCAAACTGCATTTCATGGTATAACACCGTGTGGCACAAATAAATAGCAATTCATAGACTTATACTCAAATTATTGTCCAGAAAAACAGATGATCCTGGTTTTTTTTTCCCCTTTTCGGCCCCCTTATTATAAAACAGTTTGGGCCACGACCCCTAAAATCAATCCCAACTTTCCTTGTGAAGTATAAACCTTGTGGTAAAATTAATTCGAGATCCATAATCTTATACACAAATTATTGTCCTGAAACATGAAAAATGCTTCTTTTTTTCCCCTTTCTGGCTCCTTATTACAAAACAGCTGCGACAATAACCCCCAAAATCAATCCCAACCCTCCAATTGTAATATGAAACCTTGTGCTAAAATTTCATACAGATCCATACACTCATACTCAAGTTATTGTCTGCGAACCAATTTATTTTCTATGAACCAATAAAACTGACCTTTTTTGGCCCTTAATTACTAAACAGCTACGACAATAACCCCCAAAATAAATCTCAACCTTCCTATTGTGGTATGGACCCTTGTGCTAAAATGTAATAGAGATCCATACACTTATTCTCAAGTCATTGTCTGTGAACCAGACAAATAACTGTTTTTGTTATGCCCTTTTTGGCCACTAATTCCTAAACAGCTACGACAATAACCGAAAAAATAAATCACAACCATACTTTAGTGGTATGGAACCCTGTGCTACAATTTCATAGAGATCCATACACTTATGCTCAAGTTATTGTCTGCGAACCAAAATGTCTTCAGACGCAGACGCAGACTTCGCCCTAACATAATTAATACGGACGCAAAAAAAAAATTGTGGTCGTATAAAAAGGCATTTTCATACTTGTATGATCTAAAACAAGATTTTTTTTTGGTGGAAGTCACTCTGTATGCATTTCTTTTTTTTTATTTTTAATGTCTCCCAAATAAATGTCAAGCACTTATCAAATGACATTCTAATATGACGTTCTTCAAACGCTTTGAGTACACACCCGTGGTAAAATATGAATATATTGATATGTCAGCTGATCGTCAGCGTCACGGATTGTTTTGTTTGTTCCAATCTTACTCTCACGTCGTTTGCTTAGTATGAATGATATACCCGAGGTCAGACGATGAAAATGACGTCATTGAACGATGACGTAAGAATATAAACATTCTACGGGAAAATACACGAATTTGAAACTGAAAGTCGTCAAAAAAAAAAAAACATAAACAAATAATGATAAGAATTTGTTGAAAGCCCATTTTCCATACAGTTGGAAAGCAGGTCACGGTTTGACCCCAAGTTTATCAGCAACAATAGAGTCACGTGACCGTGAAAATTCAGCAAAACTACGGATGAGACAAATCTCGTTTTTACTCACTAAAACACCACTGTCATAATAAAAACTTATTGATCAAAATAATCTTGAATATATATAGTTTAAACTCGTTAAAACATACACATCAACTAAAAGTCCTTTTTTCTTCATTTCATCTTCAAACTTGAAGTTTGTGTGAAAATTGTCAAGTCTCCTGATCGAAAAATCTATAGCTAAATATTTACGAGGAAACTAAAAATGATGGGC